GTCCACCGGATTGGGGGCAAGTCGTTGTCAAAATAGCCAGGGCAATAAGAGCGTATGCTCGGCCCAACAAGAGAGAGTCATTTGCCCCCAGACAACGGAATTCTCTTCCATTACACATCCGCAATATACCGACCATCACAGCCTTCAAAACTGCACTCAAAACACATCGTTTTAAACTCTACTATCCTGAATGATTCCCACCTCTGATTGAAACTTCTGGGTACCGTCCATGGCTTGACATGTAAATAGCTTTAAATAAACATTTTTTTTTTTGTTTTATTTAATTAATGTAGGTTAATTAAATAATTTTTAAAAAGTTTTTGGTTATGTTTATTAAATTGTGTGCACAGCGTGGTGAGCCCAGCACTAGGCTGGGGTACCACTCTATATAAAACCACTTATTATAATAATAATAATAATATTCGGTAGTCATCGTTTGGCGATTTAAACTCAACTGTAAAATCTGTTCTGCTGTATGGCTCAGGAAGCTGGCGATCATCAAACATTCATTGGTGAAAGACCTTCAAACCTTCGCAGATAGCTGCCTGCGTAGACTCTTAACGTCAAGTGCTTCCACAAAATAAATCCAAAACATAAACAGCGATGCCATGTGTAACAATACAAGCGCCGGTATTGAAATGTCAAGGATCCATAGGACGGGGAGACCCTAAAACAGCAGGCGAAGTGAAATCGACAAGATTGCAATAAAGATGGGAGAGAGTGGAAAAGGGTTAGAGAATGTGGCAGGAGACCGGAAACCTTGGAAAGAAATTGATATGCTCAACATGGGGGTTGAAAAGGCTAAGGAGGATAGTATTTGTTTAACGCCCATTCGTGTTCGATTTCCTCACCTCAATGCTCTAGACCAGGGTGCGCTCAAACTTCGGCCCATGGACCAGATCCGGCCCACTAGTGGTCCTTTATCCGGCCCGCCTGATACTCGTCATTATCATCTCAAAAGCCAAACTTGCCTATGAAATGCTAACAAGTTTATGTTAAATATATTTGTTATTTATTTCAAATGTGTTATCGTGTTTTCAGTTTCGTCTTTTTTACATACAAATAAAATGTGTGCAGTGTGCGTAGAACTGATAAGTGTGCAGTGTGCATAGAACTGAGATGTGTGCAGTGTGCATAGAACTGAGATATGTGCAGTGTGTATAGAACTGAGATATGTGCAGTGGGCATAGAGCTGACATATGTGCAATGTGCATAGAACTGAGATATGTGCAGTGTGTATAGAACTGAAATAAATGCAGTGTGTATAAAACTGAGAAATTTGCAATGTTCATACAACTGAGATATGTGCAGTGTGTATAGAACTGAGATGTGTGCAGTGTTTATAGAACTGAGATATATGTGTAGTGTGCTTAGAATAGAGATATGTGCAGTGTGTATAGAACTGAGATATGTGCAGTGTTCATGGAACTGAGATATGTGCATTGTGCATAGAACTGAGATATATGTGCAGTGTTCATGGAACTGAGATATGTGCAGTGTGTATAGAACTGAGATATGTGCAGTGTGCATAGAACTGAGATATATGCAGTGTGTATAGAACTGGGATATGTGCAGTGTTTATAGAACTGAGATATATGTGTAGTGTACATAGCACTGAGATATGTGCAATGTACATAGAACTGATATATATGCAGTGTGCATAAAACTGAGATAAATGCAGTGTGCATAGAACTGAGATATGTGCAGTGTGCGTAGAATTCCCAATATTTTTTGGAAACTATAGTCCAGCCCTGACAGCGTCTGAGGACACTGGTCGATCCCTTATTTAAAAAGTTTGAGGACCTCAGCTCTAGAGCTCAACACAACGCTGTTTTCCAAATATTTTTCTTGAAGAGCATTTTTTTTTGGTGTGTGTGTGTGTCTGTGTGAAAATGGGACGGGGGCGATATTCATGTGTAAAAGTAAAATACACTATAGAAAGTAGTAGGGCTCTACAGCGCTGAGTTATAAAAATGCAATTATAAAACAATTCTAATGTATTGGTTACCTTCACCAATGACCACAAATATTTCAGTCGACGAATCGATCATCTCCAACATCTCCCGCGAGCGGATAGCTTGAACTAAATGTGTACATGTAATTAAAGCGATCTTTGGAGGGGTGGCTGCTCTACCATCCCCCTAGAACAACATACTCGTCTCGCACATTCTCCTCGTCTTTCACTTGGTGCGGTGTTTCTTTGAACAAATTAATTCGGGCATTTTTTTTAATGTAATATCCTGTGGTTATTTATAATTTTATTTCTTGAATTATTCCTATCTAAAAAAAAAACGAATATTAATTTGGTTTTTAAAAAAAATTCTTCATTCCATTTTCTATTATTAAAACAGTTAAATTTAACTTTGCTGCATTTGAAGTCTTAAAAAAGCTGAACATTTACTATGTTGAAGTAAAAAAAAAACACAAAAAAAAACAGCAACAAAGAAGTGGATACCAGGGGTTAACTAGGAAACTAGGAGTCAACCCTTAAGTTAAACATGTTATTTTTGCGGGGACTTCCCAAAGGTGTCGTGTTGTTACATCTCTTAGTGTTAGCTGGATTGTGTAGTCTCGGGCACCTCACTCTGACACAAACCATATTTCATGGGGTGACGAACTTCCGTTTAGGACTTCTGCCGCTGGGAACCAACAGAACTTTAGGCGGGATCTTTACGTGTGCCCTCGAATGTTTGAGGCTAGCGCCAACATGCCAGACTTTCATCTACGAGAACGTTTCCTCGTCGTGTCTTCTAGGAAGGTCGATTTCGGAAAACGGAACCAGGCCTTCGGCAAACCAAAACCTGTATTCAACCGGGAAGTTATTTTGCGATTCGGCACTCGGGTATAGTTTCACATTCACTGGAGAGGACGGCATATGTACTTACATTCCTTCGCAGGCTGACAGCTACATCAACGCGTCCGATTCGTGTAAGGTGCATGGAGGAGTTCTCGTGACGATGAAGACCTCGCTAAAGCAAAAACTGGTGGCCGATGCGCTAAACAAGCATCCCGTTTTGAGCAACAGGCTGTGGATTGGCCTCGACGACATGCAACAAGAAGGAACTTTCCTATGGTCGGACGGCGCGACGTGCACAGTCGAGGAACAAAGTGTTCTTTTCAGTAAGGGCAAACCCACACCAGGAACTCCTGAGGAAGATTGCGCCGTGCTCTCAAAGTCAACTTTGTTAGTTAACGATGTCGATTGCACTGATAAGTTCCCGTATATCTGTGAGATCATGAACTTTTAACGGTCTCATAAAATATTGAAGGCGATCTGACATATCCCTATATTTTAGGCGAAACGTGGTATCGGCCCAATTGTTTTAGTGTTTAGCTTCATACAGTAGGCAGTGTCTTTTAAAAGATGTATATTGTATATGTATAATGTATATTGATCTAAATATTTTAGGAAAACTTACTCATGCTATAGGCTAAATAAATCTCCTACATTGGGAGAAAGACACGAACATGATTACATATAGCCGTTAATGAATATGAAACATGAGGTGGGTATTAGCAACCACAAACGATGATTTTGTTTACACAGCAATTGAGGAGGTTGTTCCTGCTTCGGAAATTATTTGCGCGGCGGAAGCCTGCTGTAGAAATCAGTATTTTAGGGCGCTTACGCTTCCCCAGGAACTGCAAGGGAAGATTTTGTGTAAATGTACCATCCCGACTCCTGGGAATGTCGACTCCTGACGCTATGAGAGCAGCGTCACCAGCCGACCGTATGTCCTTAGGCTGGGGTGACCTCCGCTGGTACTCAAGCGAGTGGGTGCTGGCGAGGGGGGGGGGCGCTGTCCTTGCAATGGGAGATCTCCAACGTGCCGCTTCGTGGCCCAATAGCTCGAGCACTGGGGGAGGGAGGGAGCTGCTTTTGGGGAGGGCATAAAGAGTTAAGTACTAGCTAGAAGGCTTACTGACGCCATTTCCTAATGTACATCATCAGTAGGGAGACTAACCAATTTAAATGTATTAGTTAATACTGGCGTGCATGTTGTAGGAAAAATATCCTATGTATTTTAGGCCATCTTTCTTGCATGTAATTACAACTGTCCTGTGTTGTTTTAAAAAAAGTGTCCATTACAATTTAGATTTTGATAAAATGTTAAATAGAATAGGCTTTAAGCTCGAATACAAAAAAAATTGTCACTTTTCAGCGAATAAAAATACCTTTTTGGCATGATTGATGAGTGTTTTCTACAACAATAAATACGCTATTTTCATTTTATTGTAAAGTTTTCATGCCGTGTGTTTAACTTGAAAGGATGTTTTAACTACAAATACATAATCTCTACCCACCTGCTTCAGTGATGTCTCGTATTTGTGAAAACTTTCTCAATGACGTGCTTGGTTCCAAAATGACGTATTGTGTTCGCGAATGATATTCAGCTTGAACAATTCTTCACTTTCGGGATTTTTAACAATCAAAAGTCCACTAATTGTGTCAGAATATTTCTTTCCCTTCAGCATATAACCGCATGGTCAGTGACTCGTTTTGTGACTTCAGGTCTAAATATTTCAAGACGTATTAACGTGTTTGGGAGAGCGGTACTGGATTACACAAACATTTTATTTTGAATGAATCTTAGTAAAAAAAATGTACTCCGTTGTAACTTATTAATTTGGTAAAGCAATTTTACAGTTATTAATAGCCAAATTTAATGTTAGCTGTAGCTATGTACATAAATGATAGCCAAACTGACAGCTTGCTGTAGCAATGGTACAATAGTGGTCGCCAAACTGACAGCTTGCTGTAGCAATGGTACCATAATGGTCACCAATCTGACGCTTGAATAAGTATTTGGTTGTTTTTTGTAAGACTTGCTCTGTTGCGTTTTTAAAGTCAAGATAAAATATCATAAAAAATAATGTAAGTAATCTAATAATAATAATAATTTTAAAAAGTTTTAAAATGTCTTTCACATTCTTGCTGTGTTCAATGTTTCCTTTCCTGTCTTTTTCCTGACATTATTTTCGTTTTTGCCTTGAAATTGAAAAATGTCGAAAAGCTGTCGCTTAAACCTGGTGCTCATCGACAGGTAGATGAAAATGTTAACCACTGAATGGATCGTCTGGAGGTTAAACAAAACTGCGCAGACGGCTATGAACAGGTTCTTCTCTCGTCCCCTGACGCTGAACTCTTTGACAAACGCCTGCAGGGTGTTGACCAGCAGCGTGGGGAACGATGACACGATGAAGGCTACTGATATCATGATGACCATCTTGACCAGTTGTTTGTCTCGACCGGAAACGCGAGGGATCTGAGAGGATGAAGAGCTTTTTCTCCACTGGGTGACCTTGTGAAGTGACCGGATCAAGCCCAGGGTGGACAGCGTGACGACCACGAATGAAGTCATCTGAACAATCAGGTTAAACATTATCGTCACGCCCTCAAATTCTGCTACAGACGGGGCCTGGATTAATCCAACGACGGTCAGGTTCAGCTGTGCGTTGAGCCTCGGTCCGATCTGATTAGCGATAAAAGTGGGCAGCGTGAAGACCACGGTGAGGATATTGATGCACAGCACGGCCGAGGTGGTCTTCCCTGGCGTCACGATGATTTTAACGTGCAGCGGGAAAGCTACGCAGAGAAACCTCTCCAGCGCCACGAAGGCCGTCAAACAGCCGGCTATCCGGCTAAACATGACGTGAGGGGTGCCCAGAACGACGTAGTTGACGGCGTCCAGAATGTCGAGGTTTGGCGCGGCGCTCAGCGTCAGGGGGTTGTAGACGACTGTGTAACCTATTATGGTCAGCAGGATCACCACGTCGGCAAGCGCCAGGCTCAACAGCGAGATATTTGTCGTCTCGGACAGCCCCAGTTTGACGAAGACGACGACGTTAAGGAGGTTGAACGCTATTCCCGCCAACGCTAGGAGCGTCGAGACGATATCGACGTTAAGAATGAACGTCACGAACACGTCGTCGCTCCTGATACCGTGTCCGACATCACGAAATGCCTGATGGTCCGCCAACGTGTCAATCCCCGTGATTGATACATTCATGATCTTTGATTTTTTTTCATTGGCTCTGGGTTTTTTTTCCATGTAGCGGAATAGTAAATAAATTAGTGCGAGTAGATGACCCGTACAAGTTGTAGAGTTACGGGACGTGGCCGTGATTGGGGACGTGGCGGTGATTGGGGACGTGGCGGTGATTGGGGACGATCATCAACTATCATAAATGAATTTCATTCACGTGGGGTTTATTTATCCCATTCATTCGGGAAGTTAACATTAGTGACTAATGATGTGAAACAAAAACTGGTATTGTTTTTACGAAACAAAATCGTTACTAAAAGACGCCATTTCTCCGCCCTAGTCAACTTATTGAAGTCAAATACCATATATTTCATTATAGAGCTGAACCGCCATTTGATCTATCATCTAATCGTTTTTATAATGCTCATGCATCATTCAAATCAATAACTGCGGTAATTTGACATAATCATTTTTAATGGCTTCAAGTTTTGTTAGACGTCACGAGGTGACACGAACCGATAAACTGTAATTAAAGTAAAGAGTAGATTATTGATTACGTCTTTTAATGTAATCTACCATTTGCATCATAACCACTGCTTTATTCAGTTGAAATGTTTTTTTTTTCTTTCTTAAGTATTAGCAAATACATTAAATCTTTGTGGCTCATTGTCGTGTGACACAATTACACCCTGCAGACGACACGCTACTGCGTCGCGACACACAGTTCGGAAAGCTTTGAAACATATATTAATTTGATAAATGTTTTACAAAATGTGTTGTAATATGTGCTTAGATTCCGTTAAATACTTCAGACACGATAATGATGCGTTGTAGTTAGTTGGTTTTGTGGCCTCTTTTTTTTTGAGGGGGGGGGGGGCGCATAACTGACGGTGTCTATTGTTAAGACTATATAACTGTATCCTTTCGCCAAGGCCGATTGTGTACAATCTGTTGAAGGCCGATTGTGTACAATCTGTTGAAAGCGTCCAGTTTTCAGATGACTGTTGTTTTTTTTCCTTCGTATAGCCGAGTGTGTACGGTTGCCACGGTTGAGTTTGTCCTATGGCATAGACTGTCCCCAATGCTAACGCCTGCCTCCGCTGCGTCCTTCGCCTCTGCTGACTGGTACAATTGTTGGTGGAAAGAGCCCAGCTCATCAGATAGTTCACACTGCAGCTGTAGACATTATTATCATTATTGAATCATTTTTAATCCAAATATTTTCACGGCACCAAAAGTCTTACAATGGTTGTTACGTCCAGCCACAAATGTTAAGTGCGTTGTGACACCAGTATACGTAAAGTTTCTTTATCACAAACGATAATTCTCTACGCATGCACGCATGTATGGCTGTAACGCTGTAGGCAACAGGTGTACAAAAGAAATGTCCCCGATGGTAGCATTCATTGGTGCGTTTTCAAAAAGAAAATTCTTTGCTTTAATACTTGGTTTCTCTATTTGCTTTTATTAAGAGCATCTCAGTCAAGTAGAAGAAATGCTTTCCAAATAGATTTGGCGTTAATGTCGACGCTAAGTTTAACGTAACTATAGGAACTATTGTATTGTTTGTGTTCATTCGGAGAGTAAAGGCTTTATGATAAGCAACATTTTTTTTTTTAATGTTTTCATCTCTTCAATTCTAAGAACGGGATAGGCATGTACTTTCCCAAGGGGTGGAGAATTGTGTAGACATCTTGGTCTCTAGTACTTTCCCAAGGGGTGGAGAATTGTGTAGACATCTTGGTCTCTAGTACTTTCCCAAGGGGTGGAGAATTGTGTAGACATCTTGGTCTCTAGCTTTAAGTTCTTCTAGTTCGTTGGGTTTTTTTTGTTTTTTTTTTTACTGAAATTACGTCATCGAATTGTGCTGCTTTGATGATTGATGCGTATTATTAAAATAACCACAAGTAAAATGGCCCATAGTACTTATTTTGGAAAATAAATTATGGAACAAGATATAGTTGGGCTTTAAAAAAAAAGACTACTTCAGCGGGCTTTTTTTTGTGTGTAGATTTCTACTTCAGCAGACAATACAGTTCAATAAACAACATATTGTTCTTTCTTTACATGGCTTGAACGTATTGCCCAATAACATTATGCTTGCTTTCGTCTGCCCAATTTAATTTCCTTTATGATGACTTTTCATACAAGCTTTGCGGATATTAGTTGGAAATGACTAGTTGCACAGCAATAGTGATACCTCGTGAATGACTAGTTGCACAGCAATAGTGATACCTCGTGAATGACTAGTTGCACAGCAATAGTGATACCTCGTGAATGACTAGTTGCTCAGCAATAGTGATATCTCGTGAATGACTAGTTGCACAACAATAGTGATACCTCGTGAATGACTAGTTGCACAGCAATAGTGATACCTCGTGAATGACTAGTTGCACAGCAATAGTGATACCTCGTGAATGACTAGTTGCACAGCAATAGTGATACCTCGTGAATGACTAGTTGCACAGCAATAGTGATACCTCGTGAATGACTAGTTGCACAGCAATAGTGATACCTCGTGAATGACTAGTTGCACAGCAATAGTGATACCTCGTGAATGACTAGTTGCACAGCAATAGTGATACCTCGTGAATGACTAGTTGCACAGCAATAGTGATACCTCGTGAATGACTAGTTGCACAGCAATAGTGATACCTCGTGAATGACTAGTTGCACAGCAATAATGATACCTCGTGAATGACTAGTTGCACAGCAATAATGATACCTCGTGAGTTACACTTAGATCTCACCCCCAACCAATCTATAGTTCAAGGTATACATACTATAAGTCAATCAGTGATGACGACAGGGTGTCGGCGTTTACCTAGAATCTTAAAGTCACATCATTTTGTTAGGTCTGTTATAATTACCTTTATACAGATATTGATATTACCTGTAATCGGTTCATAATGTATGCTACGAAACTGTGATGTGTCTGTAGCACGAGACTTCAAAGATATAAATAATTCATATGATGCTTTGTTGTGGACTAAAATAAAGTCGTATTTCAGACATATTAAATAGCTATCCGTATTTTAAATGTGTGACTCATAATTGTGACTTTGTGAAAAAAAAATGTTCAACTCTCCTACGCAAGTGGTGGACAAAGGAATCATTACTAATGTATGTGGTGTGAATGGTTGGACAGGTAATCCATGTGATGTGACGTGTTGGACTAGAAATGTATATGGTGTGACGTGTTGGACAAGTAATGTATGTAGTGGGAAGTGTTGGACAAGTAATGTATGTAGTGGGAAGTGTTGGACAAGTAATGTATGTAGTGGAAAGTGTTGGACAAGTAATGTATGTAGTGGTAAGTGTTGGACAAGTAACGTATGTAGGGGGAAGTGTTGGACAAGTAATGTATGTAGTGGGAAGTGTTGGACAAGTAATGTATGTAGTGGGATGTGTTGGACAAGTAATGTATGTACTGGGAAGTGTTGGACAAGTAATGTATGTAGGGGGAAGTGTTGGACAAATAATATAAGTTGAGATGTAAAATGTTGAACAAGTAATGGTTAAGATGTGAAGTGTCGGAAAGTAATGTATGAGATGTTAAATGTCGGACAAGTAATGTATGAGATGTTAAGTGTCGGACAAGTAATGTATGATATGTTAAGTGTCGGACAAGTAATGTATGAGATGTTAAGTGTCGGAGAAGTAATGTATGAGATGCTAAGTGTCGGACAAGTAATGTATGAGATGTTAAGTGTCGGACAAGTAATGTATGAGATGTTTATTGTCGGAAAGTAATGTATGAGATGTTAAGTGTCGGACAAGTAATGTATGAGATGTTAAGTTTCGGAGAAGTAATGTATGAGATGTTAAGTGTCGGACAAGTAATGTATGAGATGTTAAGTGTCGGACAAGTAATGTATGAGATGTTAAGTGTCGGAGAAGTAATGTATGAGATGCTAAGTGTCGGACAAGTAATGTATGAGATGTTAAGTGTCGGACAAGTAATGTATGAGATGTTAAATGTCGGAAAGTAATGTATGAGATGTTAAGTGTCGGACAAGTAATGTATGAGGTGTTAAGTGTCGGACAAGTAATTTATGAGATGTGAAGTGTCGGACAAGTAATGTATGAGATGTTAAGTTTCGGAGAAGTAATGTATGAGATGTTAAGTGTTGGACAAGTAATGTATAGATGTTAAGTGTCGGAAAGTAATGTATGAGATGTAAAGTGTTGGACAACTCATTTAAAAAATAATTAAACTTTAGTATCTCAAAATTAATGCTGTAATTGGTTCGTTTTATTTCTTTTAACTTTTAATTTTTAAAACATTATCTTTGTTAAACACATTGCATTTGTTAAACACAGTGTCGCCGTCTGACGGCTCGACTTTATGTGTTTGTGTATACACCTGGAACACATTCTAACTTTATCGATGGAGGTCTTTATTATGACCTCTCAAATTGGTATGGTCTTTTTTTTTGGTGGGCGTTGGGTGGGGGGGGGGGGGGTGGGGGGGGTCATTTGAGAGATTGGGCCTCTGGTCACTATTGCATTTCGCAGGTTCACCGATTCTTTTGTCATTTTTGAAAAATTGATAAAATTTATGGGGGCGAATTTTACTCATTTGAATTATAATATAAATTGTTTTGGTCATTTTCAGTTTAAGCCTTCACGCCATCTGAAGAGATTGTTTTCCTTCGCGACGTCCAGGTAATAGTGAATAACAAAGTCGTATAAATATGGTCAGGGAAATCATAATATATCTTCAACTGCAAGTGGCTTTATTCAACTTTGGATAAACCCAGACAGCAAAATGAGATAATAGTGTGCATTTTGTGTAATATGAATTAATTTGTTTAGTTCTTTTAATTACAGACAAATTTTTAAAATGTTAAAATATTTTAACCGAATTTCTGTCCCATTAGCTGTACCTGTCGGATTGGGGGGGGGGGCAGACAACCCTATCTCTTGAGACTTTATGTTTCATTTCAGTTCATTCAAGGACATCTCATAGTTTGAAATGTCTTGCCGTCACAGATACCAAATCACAAGAGTGCTTTCCGGCTTACAGGAAACTCGATGCATACATGTACACTTGCTATATCTTGCCATCTGTGATGTAAACTTGCTATATCTTGCCATCTGTGATGTACAATTGCAAATATCTTTGCCATCTGTAATTTAAAATTTCAGGCCGTGGTCATAAACAATCTGCATCTGTTATTTTCCAGCCTTTTAGACGCATCTCCGGTGACTGCGTTGGCAGATAAACCCGGGTATCTGTCTGGCTGCGCCATTCCTGCCTCTTACAGATTCCAATGGAGATTAAGATGCTCTCGTAGAAATCAACCTAGTGAGAAGAAAGAATGGATACATTGGATAGTCCGTTGATCACCAACTTCATCATTCAGGCCTCATATAAACTGTGAAAAGGAAAAATTTATCCGAAAAAATCATTCCATTGGCTACTGTTTACCCAGTGGCGAAGGAATGGGAAGTAGTGGAAGCGGTCCTCCCCGGGGGGGGGGGGGGGGGTTGGGGGGGGGGGGGTCTTTTTTTTTTTTTTTTCGGGGAAGGATGACGCCAAAACTTTTAGCCCACCCAGTGGGACACTTGGCCACGCTACGCCATTTTTTAAAAAAAAAAAAAAAAAAAAGAAAGACAACCCACTTTAAAGGGACGCAACTGCATATTTTATAAAATGCAACTTTGTTCCAACGGTTGTCTACCCTGCTAACTCTTAAAAATTATTGATTTGTCATAAATGCAGAACAAGGGGTATTGTAAAAGGTGACGTACTTTTGTCTATTCTGACTATGCATAGGGTTTCTCAGCGTTAGATCCGGGCAGTCATGTCAAATGAATTATGTAATTATGAAAATAACCAGCTTATTATTTAAAGTAATTTTTTTTATTTGATTTAATCATGGTCGATTTGAAGGCGAGATTATTCAACCTGTGTTACCCACAAGTGTAACCCACACGTGTTCCCCCACATCTGTTACCCACACGTGTTCGATTCTTGGCGCCCCCGCTGAACGAAGGTTTTTCCCATGGCGCCTGATGTCAAATTCTAAAAGGTGCACTGCAAAATAGATGACACATTGCTTTATTAAATTGTGTTAACCCGGCATTTGACAAGTCGTCTGCAAAGTTGTATTGCATATTGCGTTAATTGCACCCGATCTGACAGTGTAATGCTGAAACCTTTCACACTTAAATATAAATGCAATTATGAAAATGATTTGTAGGTGTCCTGTGAGGACCGTGAGCACAAACTTTGGGAACCACTGGCCTAAACTATAACCGTGTTTGGAAATGAATAAAGTGAATAGTGTCGTCGTTGCTTTGGGGTTTAAGTCAACAGTGTCGCTACTTTACGTCCTAAAGTGAATAGTGTCGCTTCTTGTCTTGCGAATTGCGAGCTGGTGATTTTCGGAATGTCCTTTTTGATCGCTGCCAATACCGCCAGCGGGATCTTGCAGACCTTGGCTATTCTACTAAATATGTTAATTTCATAGGGAAATGGCGTCGGCGGGCCGTCGAGCGGAGTCAATGCCCTCCCCAACAAATCCCAGACGCCGTGCCTCCCTGACACCGGACCGTGCGGCGGCACGCCAGGAACCTCCCCCCCCCCACCAGCCTTGACTGCCCCCAACAGCACCCGCTCGATCGGATTTGCAGGTGGGGGCCCTCCCCACCCGTAGGCCCCCAACAGCACCCGCTCGATCGGATTTGCAGGTGGGGGCCCTCCCCACCCGTAGACGTCCGGTCGACCGAAGACGCTGCCATTACTAAATATGGCCATTACACATGTCAAGGTTGTAATCATTTTCTTAACCAAATACAGAGGAAAAAGGAATTGCCGCAGCAATGACATCTACAAAGGAAAGAACGTCATAGACCAACGTCAAACCGATTTTTAAAGAACGAGGCAGAAAGGAGAAACTAGAAAAGTGACACGAGAGAGGCCTGGAGAATCTTTTAGGATAGAATTTTGTGTGTTTTGGTTAATGGACCAGACCTTGGGTTATACTTTAAGAGACCCTTCCTACAAATGCAAACTGTACTCTTTTTTGGCTTTCTACATGATATTCAATTAGTTGCCTTGATCACAGTCCGATATGTACTTTTTACGTTATGCAAGCTCTTTACTTTGATAGCGGATAGCATTCAGCTTTAAAAAAAAACAATAAACAAAGCAGGCATCCGTGTTTCGAAGTAATTGGTCTGGTGGGCCACCCTGTTAAGGAGTAAAATCTTTTTACAATCGTTGTGACCGTGCCGAACCTTATGATCAATCGTATGGTATCAAGTGTCAACAGTCGTATCATACAGGGATACGTCCTATTCGACAGTAATTGCATGGTAATAATATATCGGATTATGACGTAGTATTCAATAAATCAAGGACGTAGTCCTCTTAAAAACTCGTGACATTGTCGTTTATAATCTACTGACATTGTCATCTGTGCAACGGTGATGAAATCAGCTGTGAACCCTTCATGCAGTCACCTCTGATCGTGTGAAATGTCCATCACTGTTGGAGACCTTTCACTCTACTCTGACAGTCAACCTAAATGACCGCTGATATCATTTCTGTGGTCAGGTCTTGTTTCTGGCTTTGGACATGTGTCCGCCTTCCTGATCTCTACTCATTAAAAGCCTCTTCACTGCACCAGGAAGCTCAAGAAATCAAACGCGTATTGATTTTTGTGTTGTTTTATTTACAGCACAACACAACATTTCCGGGGACTCAACGTACCTCGACTAGGCCCGGGCACTCCACGTACCTCGACTAGGCCCGGGCACTCCACGTACCTCGACTAGGCCCGGACACTCAACGTACCTCGACGAGGCCCTTCAATGAAGTTTTAAACATGATTACTTCCGGGGCGCCGCTCTGCAGGTGACTCGATTTCATATGTGCCATGGTGCGATGTTTCTTTCAAAATATTAATTCGGACATACATATTATTTTATGTAATATGTTATGGTTATCGCTAATACGATTAAGTGAATTATGACAATCTAAAAACACGGAATATTAATTTGGTTCAAGAAAAGTTTATCGCATAAAGCTGTCATGTGACAATTTTTCTTCATTTTTTATTTTCTATTTTTAAAACAGTGAAATTAAGCTTTGCTGCAGAGGGATTTTAAAAACGAAGTACATTGACGTCAGTGTATACCAGCCGTAATTTAAGACTCGGTGTGTCAACCGATAAGTTAAACATGTGTACCTCACAGGGGCTTTCAAAAGATGCCGTGCTGACATATTTCTTCGTGTTTTATGGGTTGTGCAGTCCAGGGCACCTCACTCAGACAGACGCCGAATTTCACTTGGTGACTGACGTTCGTTTAGGAATGCTGCCGCTGGGAACCAACAGAACTTTTGGCGGGCTTTTCACGTGCGCCCTCGAATGTTTGAGGCTGGCGCCAACGTGCCAGGCTTTCATCTACGAGAACGTTTCCTCGTCGTGTCTTCTAGGAAGCTGGATTTGGGAAAACGGAACCAGGCCTTCGGCAAAACAAACGCTGTATTCAACCGGGAAGTTATTTTGCGATTCGGCACTCGGGTATAGTTTCACATTCACTGGAGAGGACGGCATATGTACTTACATTCCTTCGCAGGCTGACAGCTACATCAACGCGTCCGATTCGTGTAAGGTGCATGGAGGAGTTCTCGTGACGATGAAGACCTCGCTGAAGCAACAACTGGTGGCCGATGCGCTAAACAAACGACCGGTTTGGAACAACTGGCTGTGGATTGGCCTCGACGACATGCAACAAGAAGGAACTTTCATTTGGTCGGACGGCGCGACGTGCACAGTCGACGAACAAAATTTACTTTTCTATGGAGGAAAACCCAGCCCAAGAACCCGTGAGGAAGATTGCGCTGTGCTCTCAAAATCAACTTTTTTAGTTAACGATGTCATATGCACTTATAAGTACTCGTATATCTGTGAGATCAAGAATTTTTAACGGTCTTAAATGATAATGAAGGTAAACCGACATATCTCTATCTTGTTGGCGAAAAATTATGTCGGCCCAATTTAGGTGAACTGTCCGATCTGCACAGCGTAGAAAACTGTTTTATCTGCCTAGCGTATAGGCACAGTTACTTATAAAGATGAATATTGCATGTCAAATAATCGATATGTTTTAGGAAAACTGACTTATGCTAAATTAAATAAATGTCCTACATTTTGTAGAAAGACATATTTATTACTAAAAATTGTCCTGCGTGTTGTAGGAAAAATATTGTTTGTAATTCAGGCCATCTTTCTTGCATGCATAAGGTTTTAAAAATTCTCCATTCCGTTTTAGATTTTTATAAAATGTCAAATTTATTAGTCTTCTAGTTCGATTACTAAAAAAAAATATTTGAAATTGTGCAACAATCAGTCACTAACTGACGGTAAAACATTCCTTGTTGGCATAATTGAGAAGTGTTTTCTCAACGATAAATCCGCAATTGTTTCATTTTATTGTAAAGTTTTAATGGCGTCTAACTTGAAAGTAAGTTTTGACTACAAACACATAATCTCTACCCACCTGCTTCAGTGATGTCTCGTGTTTGTGAAAACTCTCTCGATGACATGATTGGTTCCAGCGATTGTTACAGCGACTGTCATTCAGCTTAACGTATGTTCACTCTCGTGATTTTTGACAATCAAAAGTCCACTCGGTGTTTCAGATTGTTCAATAAAATACTAAAGATATATTTCTTTCCCTTCAGAGTATAAAGGCATGGTCATTTTCTCGTTTTGTGACGTCAGGTCTTAATATGACAAGACATGTTTGGGAGAGTGGGACTGGCTGATCACCATGGTTGCGTTAGTTAATCTGCGGTGGGTGAGATGTCATTAGTATCACAGAACGGTTGTGACGGAGAAGGGCTCCGGTCCTGACTTGTCACAAACTATATTGACTTGGTAGTGGTCAGTGCAGGACCGCTCCTCTCTGTGATTTATATTGTGGGTGTCTAGGCGTTGAGACAGACAAAAGCACAACGTAGACTTGAACGAAATCCAACAACTCAAACTCCAGGTGTCCAATGATAAAATAGACTATATTTATTTAATAAACAGTTCTTTAATAGTCTTTACTAACTGTCAGCCATCTACGACTGTTTCTAAACTGTTAAACTATATCGTCTCCTATGTTCCACTAGTCAACTCGTCTCCTGATCTCTAGCGACTATTCCCTAACAACTGCTCAACTCTCTCGCAGCTCTTTTCTCTCTCTCTTCCTCAACTACGTCGTAACCCTGGTCCCTCTACCTCAACTGACCAGCTCGTTTATCTCTTCATCAACTAACCACTATCATGAAAAGTTCTGTCTTATATACGATTCTCTACCTTCCTAGGTGGTCCAGGAATGCTGGCAATTAACCTATCCATGCCCCCCCCCCTCATTTCCGGTCAATTAGGAACTTTCGTCGTCAACACCAAACTTGTCACGCGATGCCTGGAAAACCCGAGACATGACTTTTGGAAAGAAACATTTCCCTATCCCCAAGATGCGACAATCTATTGACCTTAATTGACCCCTTAACAAAGGCGTCGCCAAACTAAACAATAACAGCAACTTCCGCCCATCCTATAAGGTACCTTAACAACATTGGAGCTCTGTCCTGTACCCCCACCCCGGTCAATATTGTGACCAGTAGTAATAAAATAGATCATTTCTATTGAAAAAGTGATAAGTTGTTATTACATGTAGTTATTACATTTTATTTCCACGGGCTATGCGGGTTCGAGCAAACAGTTTTGGGACCCTTGGTCTACACGTTGTGTCACTGAACATGGCAAAAATTGCCAGCATTTATGGAATAAGCTTATTTATTTCATTAAGCAGACATCGCCATATAATAGCGAGCGTTTTCATTAACGGCATTTTATTCATACACCCAAATAAATTTTGAGTAAAGCTATTTAACATACCCTTCCCAACGACGTCAACCAAGTTATGCTGAAATGAATTTCTTTGTATTTTAAGTTGCCAAATTCTGTTTGAGACTGACAAAACTACACGCAATGCAATGGGCCTGAATGCACTTTTCAGAATTGTTCCGTAACAGGATAATTTTTTTTTTTTAAAGAATTACACACATAATGTATGTGATATAAAGTGCCGGACAAAGTAATATATGTGATGTGAAGTGCTGGAAAAAATTAATATATGTTATGTAACGTGTTGGACAAGTAATATATGTGGTGTGAAGTGGCGGACAAAGCATGTATATGGTGTGAAGTGCTTGACAAAGTAATGTCTGTGTTGTGAAATGTTGGACAAGTAAGGCATGAGATGTAATTTGTCATATTAAAGTGTTGGTCAGCTCATTTTAAAAAGAACATTAAATTTTAATATCTCTAAATTAATGCTGTACTGTAATTGGTTTGTTTTATTTCTTTTAATTTTTTTAACTCTTTAACTTTGTAGGCACACTGTGTTGGTTAAACACATTGTCTTCGTTAAGCACATCGTCTTTGTTAAGCACATTGTCTTTGTTAAGCACATGGTCTTTGTTAAACACGTTGTCTTTTTTAAACTCATTGTCTTTGTAAGCACACTGTCTTGGTTAAACACATTGTCTTTGATAACCACATTGTCTTTGTTAAGCACATGGTCTTTGTTAAACACGTTGTCTTTGTTAAACTCATTGTCTTTGTAAGCACACTGTCTTGGTTAAACACATTGTCTTTAATAACCACATTGTCTTTGTTAAGCACATGGTCTTTGTTAAACACGTTGTCTTTGTTAAACTCATTGTCTTTGTAAGCACACTGTCTTGGTTAAACACATTGTCTTTAATAACCACATTGTCTTTGTTAAGCACATGGTCTTTGTTAAACACGTTGTCTTTGTTAAACTCGTTGTCTTTGTAAGCACACTGTCTTTGTTAAACACATTGTCTTTAATAACCACATTGTCTTTGTTAAGCACATGGTCTTTGTTAAACACGTTGTCTTTGTTAAACTCATTGTGTTTGTAAGCACACTGACTTGGTTAAACACATTGTCTTTGATAACCACATTGTCTTTGATAACCACATTGTCTTTGATAACCACATTGTCTTTGATAACCACATTGTCTTTGATAACCACATTGTCTTTGTTAAACATTCGAAATTTGAAAGCAGTGCCATCGTCTGACTCCTTGACTTCATATGTTTGTGTACACAACTGTCACATCATCTCACTACCTTGACTTCATATGTTTGTGTACACAACTGTCACATCAACTCACTACCTTGACTTCATATGTTTGTGTACACAACTGTCATATCATCTCACTACCTGGACTTCATATGTTTGTGTACACAACTGTAACATCTCACTACCTTGACTTCATATGTTTGTGTACACAACTGTAACATCATCTCACTACCTTGACTTCATATGTTTGTGTACACAACTGTAACATCATCTCACTACCTTGACTTCATATGTTTGTGTACACAACTGTAACATCATCTCACTACCTTGACTTCATATGTTTGTGTACACAACTGTAACATCATCTCACTACCTTGACTTCATATGTTTGTGTACACAACTGTCACATCATCTCACTACCTTGACTACATATGTTTGTGTACACAACTGTCACATCATCTCACTACCACCATCTATGGTTGTCTTTATTATCACTTCGCACATTGGAGTCTTTTTTTTCGGGGGATGGGGTAGGGAGGTCATTTGAGTTATTTGACCTTTGGTCACTGTCACATTTCTCAGGTTCGCCTCTTGGGCGTATTTCAAAATAAATTTAAGGGAGGTGTGTCCTTCGCATATCCATTGCACAGCATGAGTGTCATGGTCGGGTCAATGTGGCCAGGGGAACTCACACGTCTTTCAACTTCAAGTGGCCGCATACAAAGCCTTGCTACGCCATTGTTTCTTCGACGCCTTACTTTAAAAGGGACGCAACTGCATATTTTCAAAAATGCAACTTTGTTACAAAAGGTTATCCACCCTGGTAACACTTGAAATTTTGGTGTGGTATAAATGCAGATCAAGGTTTATTTTAAAAGTTGACCTAATTTTTCAATTTAACCACGAAAAATGTTTCGAGACACATTGTATCTTAGCGTTAGATCCAGACAAACATATGAAATGAATTGTTATTATAAAAGTAACGAACTTATTATTTTTTAAAGGATTTATTTTTAAAATCATGGTCGATTTGTAAGCGAGATTCCTAAACCCGTGTTACCCACACGTGTTACCCACACGTGTTACCCACACGTGTTCGATTATTGGTGCCCTCGCTTAACCAAGGTTTTCCACAGTGACTCTGCAATATTAATGCTACAACTTTTCACAATAAAATAACAAGGCGAATGCAATTATGACAATGTTTTGTAGGTGCCCTGTGAGGACCGTGGGCACACACTTTGGGAACCACTGGCCTAAACTATAGCAATGTTTGAAAAAAAATATATCAATTTCCTAAGATCAATTTTACTATCGACTTTCTTTGACATTTTTTACACGTTAGTGGAAAGTTACTGGTAACATGGAAACTGTTTCTATTTTTGGAATTTTTAACTTACGTAATAAACCAAACCTGGTGATTGTGGTTTTTCCCATGTGGAGACCACCTGCTCCTCCCATGTGGAGACCACCTGCTCCTCCCATGTGGAGACCATCTGCTCCTCCCATGTGGAGACCACCTGCTCCTCCCATGTGGAGACCACCTGCTCCTCCCATGTGGAGACCACCTGCTCCTCCCATGTGGAGACCACCTGCTCCTCCCATGTGGAGACCACCTGCTCCTTAGGCGATGCGCAAAAGTTCTGTGAGGAATTTGCCCTGTGACTATAATGCACTCTTTACTCGTTGACTGTCTTAAAACAAGGAACTAACAGAGCCCGGCGACACTTGTCATGTATGGCAGGAAAAGTTAGAAAAAAGAACTTTGCCCCATGTCTACAGCTAAACAGATATAGCGATGAAAATAAGCTTTACGTCGAT